GTACCTCTGGTGCAAATTACTGACCTCTGTCATCATTTTAGGTGGGGGAACTTGCACAATCGGTGGCTGACTAAATACTTTTTTGCCCCACCGTACCTGTTTTTCTTGTGCTTTAGCAAGTTCAGTGAGGGTGGAAGATGAAATTTCTTGAAAGCCCCAAAAATTACTGAAATAAAGACATAAAAGACCAAGACAGGTCCTGGAAATGTGCAAATAAAGTGTGTCTGTGAAATCTGGTGTGGAAATTCTTCCTTTTAAATGCACCTGGGAAACAGAGATGCACACATAATCAACGTAGTGTTTTTTTGTTATAAAAATGGGCAAGTCAGCATGCAGGTAAACAACATTTGTCAGAGTTAAAGGTTATTACAATCCCTAAGTAAGTAGGGAATGGTTCAGTGTCCTCCTTTACTGCCAGCACTGGGGAAAACTGAATAAGCGCTGCTTCCATGTAGATTTAATGTCTGTCAAATATCCAAGCCAAAACTACGGTCACAGCAGCATGTGGAATGCTAGATATCTAGTTAGCCGAACATATGTATAGTTGGCTAATCTCATCTAATGGACCAAAATAAAGCTTTGACACAAACACATTGTGGTGTATGTGCAAGGTGGTGAGAGAGAGAAAGAGTCTGCCTCATGTTCTAATTGGTTCTTTTTTTTAAATTTTTTTACATATTGTCATATTTTATTCTACAAATTTTCTCACCAAGTTCTTGCAAGCTCTTTTGTAACATATTAGTTTTCATGCAGACCTGCAAACTCTTGACTCTTGTCATGTAATTAATATATTCTTAGTGCTTATGTTGCACATGTTGTGCAGATTTGTACTTAAGTCACTGTTTTGTTAGGTTTAGGCAAAAAATGTCATCCTTTGCAATAAAAAAAGAACAAAGTCCTATCATGTAATTATAATAATAATAATGGATTGCATTTATATAGCACTTTTCAGGGCCCTCAAAGCGCTGTACAATTTCACTATTCATTCACTCTCACATTCACACACTGGTGGAGGCAGCTACAGTTGTAGCCACAGCTGCCCTGGAGCAGACTGACAGAGGCGAGGCTGCCATATCGCGCCATCGGCCCCTCTGGCCAACACCAGTAGGCGGTAGGTGAAGTGTCTTGCCCAAGGACACAACGACCAAGACTGTCCAAGCCGGGGCTCGAACCGGCAACCTTCCGATTACAAGACAAACTGCCAACTCTTTGAGCCACGATCGCCCCCGTTCTATTATGTTAATTATTATTTAATTAACATAGAAGTCCCTGTGTGTATCAAGAGTTGATGTTAAAGTTGTGCTCTTGTAAAACCTACTTTAAAACAAACTGATCTAATGGTTTGCAAATTCATTGCAGGTGTTCCTGAAAAGTGACCGTGTGTCCCGGATGGTGCAGAGTGGCGGCTGCTCAGCTAGTGACTCTCGGGAGGTTTTTAAGAAGCACATAGAGAAACGTGTGCGCAGCTTACCTGAAATTGATGGGCTAAGCAAAGAAACAGTGCTGAGCTCCTGGATTGCTAAATTTGACACCATCTACCGAGGTGAAGAGGACCCCAGGAAACACCAGCAGCGTGTAACAACCAGTGCTGCCTCTGAACTCATCCTTAGCAAGGACCAACTATATGAGATGTTCCAGCAGATCCTGGGTATCAAGAAGTTTGAGCACCAGCTCCTTTATAATGCCTGTCAGGTCAGTAAATTAACAGATTTTGTGAAAATATAAGTTTGCTGTTGTCTATAATTTAACTTCCACCTTTTTAGACCTTACTGTTGAATGTGGAACGTTAGTTGGTGAGGGTGGCCATGCCAGAAAAAGAATTGAAAACCTTTGTTCTTGAGATTTAGAAACAGAAGTACTGATTTTGAAATAATTAGATCATATAAGGTCACGAGAACTAAGGTTGTTGAGTAGTTCAGTCAAAAGATACTTGCTTAAACAGTGCCTTGGAACTTCTGGTAACTTGTAACTTAATGCAAATAACTCCACAAAAAAGTAAGCCAGAAGAAGCTGTCTTTCTTTCTCTGGGAATTTAATATTGGCAGCTGTAATGACAAGACAAAAGCCAGACATGATCAGTGAAGGCAGACAGGCATCATCACAGTCATCAGTTTTTTTAAGAAACATATTTTTTTCACGTTTCCTATAGCTTTAGTTTAGACAACCAAGAGAGCTTGTACTAAAGTCCCGTTTCCATTAGTAGATACTCAGATCGACTAACCACAGATTGCCACAACTTGACTCGGATCAACTGGTTTTCCATTACAAAAAAGTAACAGTCATACCATCATTGTCACTGTCATTGCTTCCATACAGAGATGATCCAATATTAAAATGATAGTTATTGCATCCCTGCCGTCACATGCATGTGAACTTGAGTGACATCTCATTCTTAATCTATAGGATGTAATATGCCCCCTCTCTGGGGCTGGGGTTGGCTGATGATCTGGTTATTGAGTTGCTGCTGGCTGCCCCAGAGAGTGGAAGTGTCTCTTTGTGCAGTTGTGAGTGTGTGTGTGTGTGTTGTCTGCGTGGGACTAGGCCTGGGTGTGGGTCTTCCTGAGCCTTAGTCCCTCTTTGACATTGTTATTGAGGGTGAAATAATTCCCCTCCCCACTGCTCCACACTGGTTGTTGCTCCCCCTGGGACTTGGGCACTTGAGCCCCTTTATCCATTAGTACCTACTCGGATCGACTCACCGTGGATCGCCACAACTCAACTTGGATCGCCTGGTTCTCCATTACAATCCAGTACTATCTTATGTGCATGGTTGTCCTCAAAGCAACGCTGATGAGCGTCCCATGACATAATTAGTACAGTAGCTTGTAAAAGTATTCGGCCCCCTTGAACTTTTCCACATTTTGTCACATTACAGCCACAAACATGAATCAATTTTATTGGAATTCCAGGTGAAAGACCAACACAAAGTGGTGCACACATGAGAAGTGGAACGAAAATCAGACATGATTCCAAACATTTTTTACAAGTAAATAACTGAAAAGTGGGGTGTGCGTAATTATTCAGCCCCCTTTGGTCTGAGTGCAGTCAGTTGCACATAGACATTGCCTGATGAGTGCTAATGACTAAATAGAGTCACCTGTGTGTAATCTAATGTCAGTACAAATACAGCTGCTCCGTGACGGCCTCAGAGGTTGTCTAAGAGAATACTGGGAGCAACAACAAAATTATTGAAAAATTTAAAGCGGGCTTAGGCTACAAAAAGGTTTCCCAAGCCTTGAACATCCCACGGAGCACTGGTCAAGCCATCATTCAGAAATGGAAGGAGTATGGCACAACTGTAAACCTACCAAGACAAGGCCGTCCACCTAAACTCACAGGCCGAACAAGGAGAGCACTGATCAGAAATGCAGCCAAGAGGCCCATGGTGACTCTGGACGAGCTGCAGAGATCTACAGCTCAGGTGGGGGAATCTGTCCACAGGACAACTATTAGTCGTGCACTGCACAAAGTTGGCCTTTATGGAAGAGCGGCAAGAAGAAAGCCATTGTTAACAGAAAACCATAAGAAGTCCCGTTTGCAGTTTGCCACAAGCCATGTGGGGGACACAGCAAACATGTGGAAGAAGCTGCTCTGGTCAGATGAGACCAACATGCAAAACGCTCTGTGTGGAAAACTAACACTGCACATCACTCTGAACACATCATCCCCACTGTCAGATATGGTGGTGGCAGCATCATGCTCTGGGGGGGCTTCTCTTCAGCAGGGACAGGGAAGCTGGTCAGAGTTGATGGGAAGATGGATGGGGCCAAATATAGGGCAATCTTAGAAGAAAACCTCTTGGAGTCTGCAAAAGACTTGAGACTGGGGCGGAGGTTCACCTTCCAGCAGGACAACGACCCTAAACACAAAGCCAGGGCAGCAATGGAAAGGTTTAAAACAAAACATATCCATGTGTTAGAACGGCCCAGTCAAAGTCCAGATCTGAATCCAATCCAGAATCTGTGGCAAGATCTGAAAACTGCTGTTCACAAACGCTGCCCATCTAATCTGACTGAGCTGGAGCTGTTTTGCAAAGAAGAATGGGCAAAGATTTCAGTCTGTAGATGTGCAAAGCTGGTAGAGACAGACCCTAAAAGACTGGCAGCTGGAATTGACTCAGGGGGCTGAATAATTAAACACACCCCACTTTGCAGTTATTTATTTGTAAAAATTGTTTGGAATCATGTCTGATTTTTGTTTCACTTCTCACGTGTGCACCACTTTGTGTTGGTCTTTCACCTGGAATTCCTTTTGTTTTTGTTTTTTTTGTTTTTTTTGTGTCCCGTCTGGCACTGTAGCAATCAGAATTATTGTCTGAAGGCCAAGAAAAATGCCCAACAGATTTACTTTCCCAAGTGGGCCTTTTGCTATACTGGTCCACTTGATTGTCATAGTTTATTTGATCTTTATTAGTTATTTTTATTCTAAGTTATTGTAATCAGGCCAGACTGGAGTCGGGGACGGGAAAGAAAAACAAGAAGAAAAGTTCAGAAGAAAGTTAACAGAAGGAGAGGGAAAGAAAAAGGAGAAAAGAGATAGAGAGAAAAGACAATGAAAATCTGCTTTATTGCTCTTTTTTTGCTTTTCCCCCCCTCTTTTCCTGGATCATCTGTTGAGAAAACAGAAAACAAGCAGAAGAAGACTAGAGCAATAGAATAAACAACATCATGATGATCTATGGGAATATAACAGTAAATACTAAATGTTAAACATTATTGTGCAGCACGTAAGATCGACAGCGCACAGTGTGCTTTAAGGTAGGAGCCAAAAAGGGTGTAGTTTGTGTGTGTGAGCACCCGTGTGTACACCTGTGAGCATGAATGTTTTTAAAAAGTTCCTACATGTAATGATCTGCTAGAGGGTGTGGGGAGCCACAGCCCTGTCCACCAGGTTTCACGTGGAATTCAAATAAAAGTTATTCATGTTTGTGGCTGTAATGTGACAAAATGTGGAAAAGTTCAAGGGGGCCGAATACTTTTGCAAGCCACTATATGTGACATGAAGGTTACAAGAAAGGTTGATGTCAAAGTGACGATATATCTGGTGCTCGATCTGTGGCTTTTCATCAGACTTGGAGACCACGGTGTTGTTGTTTTTTTGTAGCCAGTTCCTTCATTTCAAAAACGGTGGTTTTAATTTTCTTAAATGAGAGGCTCACATGACTCATCGAGTAATACCACTGACCAGCCAATCGGTGGCATGCAGTCTGACGATGTCCCATTTTATTACCTACTCAGATCGTGTGGAACCCTGGCCGAGCAGATACTACCACAGTACCTTTTACCAGGTACTAAAACCTAATGGAAAACCCCTAAAACTGTGGCAAACAATGCCGAGTCGATCTGAGTAGGTATTAATAGAGTAGACGATGGCATGGCCACATCCAGACATCCAGACACCTTCCTGACCACTCCGGACTATGCAACTCTTTAGCTTTTTACTTGTTTATTACGTTGTTATACATTCCAGGAACTTCTAGTTTTATAGTTTATGACAGCAGATCCCTTCTCAACATCGGTAACAAGTTTGCACATGTAATTTTGGACACTTTTAAATCCCACCCATCCTGGCCGACCGAGATACTACGCAACGCGGCCAACAACAATGGACAGGACGTTCACCCGAGGCGCAGAACAAAGAAAACGCGCTGGCGTTC